AAAACAAAACAAAGATAAACTCCCCTATCCTGCTAAGAAATAAAGCATCCCTCTTTTAAAAAATAATAATAAATTAGAAAAATAAGTGAGTGCTTTAATAATTGATACACTATACAGAAATTCTTTTTTGAATGGGAAATAAGTATGCTCTGATGGGGAAAAACATCAAAATATTCCATTAAATCAAAAAAGCAAAAGACACATGTAATATATGTAATATTTATAAATGAGTGGCCAAGCTGGGCACAGTGGTACATGCCTGTAATCCCAGCACTTGAGAGATGGAGGCAAGAGGATTAGTTCAAGGTCATCTTCTATTACACAGTAAGTTTAAACATAGCCAACCTTTCTCCTCCCCGCAAAAACAGACCATTAAAACACACATATAAGCCAGGCGGCAGTGGCGCACGCCTTTAATCCCAGCACTAGGGAGGCAGATCTCTGTGAGTTCAAGGCCAGCCCGGTCTACAGAGCGAGATCTAGGACAGGTACCAAAACTACACAGAGAAACCCTGTCTTGAAAAACAAAAACAAGCAAGCAAACAAACAAAAAAGGTCACACACAAGGGGCGGATAAGCAATTATTTTTTGTTTTGGAATATGAAAAGAAACAAAAGCCCAGGAAACGATGGAAGGTGGGGGACGGGAAGGGAGATGTACACTTCCTGTACTGCTAATGAGTATTCAACAGGATGGCCATGCTAGCAGCATGCACAGGAGAGTGTAAATCAATGTCCTAACAGGCACATTCTTGTTGTCACTACGAGTCCCATATCCTCCCTATGCACATGTACTATATCCCCTTATAAAAAGCAAGTGCCTTCTCTCCCCACCCTCTTCCCTTCCACCTTTACTCAGAGGCAGCCTCTGTATACTCCCACCCCCCCCCAATAAAAATCTCACATGAGATCTGTTGCATGGTGTGACTTTGTGGTGTTCCTTGGGTTCAATTGCCAAGATGCCTTCCATCACTTAAATCATTATAGATGGGATGAAGAAGAGACCATTAAGAAGACCCAATTCCAAATCAGAATAAAGAAGTCCACACCTATAGAAAGCAAATGAACTTCAAAATGCCAAAGACAATGAGGGTGTGTTCATAGCAGAGAGATGTCACTCAAAGGGAACCATGAAATGTTTGTAGACCAGACTCCCATCTTACTATGTAACCCTGGCTGGGCTAGAACTCACTATATAGACCAGGCTGGCCTCAAAATCACAGAAATCCACATGCTTCTGCTTTCAGTGTGCTGGGATTATAGGCACGCACCACTACACCCGGCCCATTGCAACAAGGAAAATCAGCTGAGGCTGAGGGCCAGTGCTAGCTCAGAGCCCTGTGTTAAGGAAGTCGTCTATAGATGATGTTTAGGGCTAAAAAAGGAGCTCATTATAGTTCAATGTTTAGTGCACATGAAGCTCTGAGTTTAATATTCAGTATGATAAGTAAAAAGATGTTTGAAAATATGAAGTTGAAATGAACTTTTAGAGAAAAGAACAAATACATGGACCATCAATAAAGGAAACAAAAAGACATACTGAAGGATACATTTCAGACAAGAAGATTATATCAGATGTTAAGATTAGAGATAGCAGGAGGGATGATGAGGAAAGGCATTGGCAAACACAGTTCCAGTGCAATACCAAAAAACATGCCCAGCCCTGAAATTTGACAGGCTGAGTCCAAAACTGATAAAGAAAAACAAGGGTATGATAAAAGCCAAATTCTCCTGAAGAAGGAGGACAAAGAAGAGGACTTTCCTCAAAGGACATCAAGATTTGTATATTAAAATAACAAAGGCTGTAAATAACTAACTAGCACAACAGAAAGCAAGCCACTAATGTATGGAGTAGAGATTCTATGACCAGGGTAGGGATCTCTATCTAGGGAACGTGACAACTTACAGCAAGCCACCAATAGATGAATAGAGATCCCACCAGCAGACCCTAGTGGATGTAATACAGTGACTTATGGTGAGGACACCAAAGATCAGTGGAAAGAGGTCCAAGTTGCTCAATGATGGAATGGAGGTATGAGAAACAATAGCCACAAGGGGAAGATTAATTTTTATTTTATTTTATTGTGGTGTTGAGGATTGAATCCAGGGTCAAGTACATACTAAGCAAGTACTCTACCACTGAACTCCATCTTCAACCCCAAGTATTAAGTTTTATTATATTAGATTAAGGATTTCTGCTCATTGAAAGATGCTGTAAGTAAAAGATAAGCCACAAATAAGGAAATACTTGCAATATATACAACGAAAAAGGATTAGCATGAAAATTTTTCAAAGGTGGAGAGCTACTGTGCAGCCATGGCTATATCACCCAAGTTCTGCAAAGGAAATTCCAGTCCATATAATGGAATGCCACTCAGCAATGAAACAAAAAGGTAGTTCCATGTATCAACCATGCTGAACCTCAAAACATACTGGGTGAGGAAAATATTATAGAATATGTGTAATATAATTCTAATCACTGAAGGGTCAAATGCAGAAGAGCCAAGCCATGTGTGTTGTTTTAAAACACACAGAGAAGTGGAATTGGGCAGTGAGATGGCTCTGTAGATAAAGGTGCTTTTCATACAAGCCTCATGACCTAAAGGTGGAAAGAGAGAACTGATTCCACAGAGTTGTCATGTGACCTCTGCATGCATGCCGTGACACAAGCACCCAGCCCCACAATCATACATACATACAACAATAATACATGCAATAATGTCAGAAGTGATACATTTGTAAAGAAACTAAGTAATCAAAAATGTTCAACAGGAGTTATCTGGGGGATGGGTGGTGGGAAAAGGGCGATGTGACTGGCAAGGGCATCTTGTGTACACCTCGGTATATCAGTAATACAACACTTTACCTCCCATACTGACCTTGGAAGCACGGATGTCCATTTTACTTTTTATTTTTTGGTTCTTAGAGAAAGGGTCTTTCGATGTAGCCCAGGCTGGCCTCAAATCATGATCTTCTTGCTTCAGATTCCCAAATGTATTGTAATAATATATTCAACATATTCCATGGAGGAAAAGCATGCACATATATCTTTGAGATAGTTTCTCTATATGACCTAAAATTCACTATACAGCCTTGGCTGGCCTCAAGCTTGTAGCCATCCTCCTGCCTTTGCCTCCTGAGTTCTAGGATTACAAAAGTATGCCACCCTTTCATACATCTTTTGAATGTTATGAGGAACATCATAGGCCAACAGGAAAAAAAATCAATGGATTTACAATGCTGTCTTCTGCTCTGATACACAAGTATCAGGGTGACGTTAGGGAAGGATCCAGCCAAGCTTAGGAGCACCATTTACAAAGTGACAAATCTGTGAGATACTACAAAAAAGCCAAATAACATCACAACACTCCTCTTTCATTCACAAGTGAAAATCAGATGCACTGAAAGCTGGATTTCATGTAAGCCCAAAACATTCCACACCAAATTGAATGAAAAAAGGAAATAAAAAAAGGAAAGGAACATGACTGTTCCTGGTATGGTGGAGGAGAAAGTTTGTTATAGATAGGTGGGAGAGCACAGCCAGGGGCAGAGACACTTGTGAGAGTCCAGAGTAGACATTACCAGACTGAGTTGTCCCATGGGGGTGTGGCGGGGAGTAAACCAGATGCAGGAGCTAGGAGGCCCAAAGGTACAAAAAGAGAGTAGGTAACCAAAATGGTCAGATTATATAGGGAAGAGCAGCCCAGCTCCCTGGGCTGAGGAGTGTGTGGGGTGGGGTGGTGGGGGTAGGGGTGGTATGCCAGCTGGGAGGGCTCTGTAACAGGCAGGGACTGAGGGACTGCAGGAAGAACATGCAGCAAGGTCCACTTTGATATGTTAAAGAGGCACATCAGCATTTGTCCCAGATTTGAAACCTAACACAAATGATTAAGAGGTTTGTTGTATAAATGACCTCACATTGTAAAGGCCTACAATGGCTTCTAAAGTATATCTGAAAAGCAGAATTTTTTTTACACACATATTTACCTTGATTCAAAACAGATACCTGTTTCCAGTCACTGCTTGTGAACAGAATTCTTTTGCAAAGTACTACAAATGTTTACTTGTGCAGGCCCTGCACCTTGCGTGGGCAGCACAATAGAGCCAGCCCCATTGGCAGAGGTGTGGGCAAGCCAGCGCCAATATTGTTAGGACAGAAGAGCTGTCCCATTATTCACCTGTTATGTGGTGGCATGGGCAGGAGAGAGATGTCTGTGGTCCTCTTCCCCCTACACCTCCCATCAACCCAGGCAGGTGGGAGAGCTGACCCTGAGGTCATAAGCAGGAGAGCTAGCCCTGCCCCTCATCTGCTGGCAGCACTCGGGACAATGGCCCCTATTCTGGGCAACACAGTTGAGCTGGCCTTGCTGATGTAGGTGTGAAAGAGCTAACCCTAAGGGCATGAAGGCAGGAGAACTGGCCCCACCCCTCACTTATCACTCTAAGGGGTGAACATGCCAGGGCAATGCAGGAGAGCTCACCCTGGTGGTGAGGACAAGGGAGAGCTGACAGGCTGACCAACCCTGCCGCTACCAGGCCCAGAACCAGGGTTATAGGTTGGCCCACCTCACTGTCCACCCCATCTGTGATCTGCTGGAGCATGTGAAGTGACCAGTCCTGCACACCCAAAGCTCCAGGATTTCCACAACACAGGGCAACAGCAGGATAATTAAGAGGAGTTCCAGTGAGGGTCCAGCATCCATAGTGTAGCAGAAACCAAAGGCCTCAAACCAACCAATGAATCTTTTCAATGAACATTTACAAGTACAGATATATGGACAAAAGGGTTTACTGCATTTACTCACTATGTCAAACTACAGCTTCCATGATGAGATTTTTTTTCCTTTTCTTTTTTTCTCTTAAATTTTATTGGGGAGGGGGGCTGCAAGGGCAGAGGGCGGATACATAGGACAGGACATGAATGGGATCAAGATGCATGATGTGAAAGACACAAAGAATAATTAAAAAGAAGGTTAAAAAAAAACAGAAACAAATGCTCACCTGTGCTTTACCATCTTTTGATCATGGCAAAAATGACTAAAAAATCTTGCATAGAACAAGTGCATGACAGCATGCTCTTTTCCTCCGATGTACAAATCCACAGGCATCCAGAAGTCTGCCAGTGCTGGGCTGAAAGGACTAGGAGAAAAATAAATGGACATTTAAAAACCTTATTTGCCACAACTGCATAAATTAGACCTATTGTAATCTGCATATGCCTTGAAAAGAATTAATGTCAGAAAAAACAGTGACTTTCTTTTAATAAGAGAAAAACATATACAATAAGTGAGAAAAGAACCAGTGTTGACTGGCTCTACAAGTCATCCACTTACCTCTATGCATGGCTTGTGGCACATGCACATTCACACACACAATAAATAAAATAAATGTAATAAAAATGCAATTTTTGAGCCGGTAGTAATGATGGTGGCGCACACCTTTAATCCCAGTACTCAGAGGCAGAGGCAGTCGGATCTCTGAGTTCAAGGCCAGCCTGGTCTACACAGTGAGTTCCAGGACAGCCAGCGTTATTCAGAGAAACCCTATCTCAAAAAACCAAAAACCAAAACCAACCCAACAAACAAACAAAAAAAAAACCAAACCAGTAATTTTTGTAATAAAACAAGAACAAAAGAAAAATATACCAGCAACAAGACATCTCCATGGGATGCTTATTTGAATAGTTAGCTTTAATTTTTATTATGACTAGACAATAGAAATTTTTTTAATTCTCACCAATAGAGGGCAATAGTAGCATTTATAATAGAAACTAGCATGGCAGTAAATGTCATTCTAAAACAGAAATTCAGTCTTATTTTTAAAAGTGTTTTGAAATAGCCAGCAAGAGTTCAAATATGGTTTACTGAAGGAATGAAACTAATATGGGGCCTGTCAAAATATCCCAGTAACTTCCCCATCTACTACTTCTTGACCAACAGGGTTTTACCAAAGGTCAAGCTTCCTCCTACTCCTAACATACACAGAGGGGAAGGACTCCCCAGGTCTTCTATTTGCTGGCTGCTGCCTTGGGAAAGAGCCATTGTGGCTGGGAACAGACCTCTCTGTTCCCAAGGCAACCCTTTGTTTGAAGTCAACTGAGGGAACTGTTGGGAATCTCCACTCTGGTCTCACTCCTCCCATTCCAGACCCCGCCCATCAGAAAGCCTGCCAAGGGTCAGCTCCTCCCTGGGGGATGCTCAAGACCATGATGACAGGTATTTAAGACCTGGTCGCCAGCCCTGCCACGTGATTTCTCTCCTGCCTTTCCAAGGGTCATCTGAGAACTGCTTTGCTCTGTTTATTAAATCTGGTCTTATTAATTTGGTTTGATTTGGCTTATTTCACTGGCTTACTGCATTGGCAATAACCAGAGATCCAATACTTATCAGGAACTTTTGCTTTGGAGGATCTGTGATCCCTGGTTTCAAAATTTCAGAGTTTTCTCCCCAGTGCCAGAAAGTACTTTTCCCCTAGCATGCTCTTGGCTGGCTAGTTCTGAGACTGGACAGAGACTGCAGGTGGCAGGTCAGCACAGGGCGCTTTTGCAGTTACTACTGTGCCAGCATCTCATAAAATTAAAAATAAGAAAAAAGCAAAACAAAGCCACCCAAATCACCAAACAAACAAATAAATAAACCTCCAACTACAATGGTTTCTTAAAGAAATTGAACACTGCTGGGCATAGACCTTTAACCCCAAAACTTGGAAAAGAGAGGCAGGCTGATCTCCAAGTTCAAGACCAGCCTGGTCTACATAGTAATTTCCAGGACATCCAAGGCTACACAGTGGAGCCCTGTCTCAAATTAAAAAAATTAAAAGTAAGTAAATAAATTCAACTGCTGTTTCATGCAAGAGTAAAGCCAAAGTTGAGTTTGGTATTTATCTCACAAACAAGTTTGGGATAAATGAGGTCAAATGTTCAGTTTATGTTCTACCTTGGACACCTCTCTGCTGACTAGACACAGCATGCCAGGAGAGATGTGAAGCCCTGTGCTGTTCACAGAGGAGCCACACAGGGCTCAGGACAGCTGGGAAGCAGCAGGAAAGGGAAAGCCTCCTTTACACTCCTCTATGGCTCACACGGAGCTGCTCTGAAGTTCCCAGTCTCCTTGTATCCTTCCACTTACTCAGGATCCCACTCATTTCTGAAATGAACACAAATCATAGAGCCATAACTCTGCTATTCAGAATGTGGCTTGAGCATTTGTCTAAACAGAAATATGCCACTCTGCTGCTAGTCTAGAATAGGGAGTACTTTCTTTGCCTGTTTTCAACATAAGATGCCATTCTGTAGAACAAGATCCCCTGAATTTACACCCCCCTGCCTCAACCTCTGGTGCTGGAACTACAGGCATGTACCACCACGCCCAGAATGGAAGCCCTTCATATGTGGACAATACAGTTACAGGATATTTCTACCATGCTCAAGAGCAACCTGCCAAGGTTTTCCTGGTTCTGGAATTGTTTCCATTAGCTCCCATTCCAGCTTTGCTTGGTTACTTACTGCTCTTTTTTCTTTGTTTCTGCCTCATCAAAGAAACAAACAGAGCTGAAAAATCAAACAGCACTTGAAAGTATATCATGAAAAAGAATGGTCTTAGCCTCAGTTCTCCCTGAACCCCAGGCCTGAAACTTGGCACTTTTTAATTTAAAGTCAGGGTCTCACTGTGTAGCAGCTAGAGGCCTGGAACTCACTATGTAGAACAGAATGACCTTGAACTCATAGATATCCATCTGTCTCTGTCTCCTGAGAACTGGGATTAACGATATCTGCGGAATATTCCTTTACACTATGTGAATATATGTTACTGTGATTGGTGTAGCTGGAGTTATCTCCAGTCCTGCCAGGGCCCGCAGCCACTCAGACCCAAATAAACACACAGACACTTAAATTATTTAAACTGTGTGGCCTAATGGCTCAGGCTTTTTGTTATTTAGTTCTTATATCTTAAATTAACCCATTTCTATAAATCTATACCTTGCCACGTGGCTTGTGGCTTACCAGTACTTTACATCATGCTTCTCATGGTGGTGGCTGGCAGCATCTCCTGACTCAGCCTTCCACTTCCCAGAATTTTCCTCTCTCTTTGTTCTGCCTATACTTCCTGCCTGGCTACTGGCCAATCAGTGTTTTATTTATTAACCAATCAGAGCAACACATTCATAGCATACAGATATCCACAGCAGATTGGTTTAATAAAGAAGTTGACTGGCCAATAGCTGAACAGGATAAGGTTAGGTGGGAAAGCCAAACTGAGAATGCTGGGAGGAAGAAGGGAAGAGTGAGAGGAGTCACCAGTAGACACAGAGAGAAGCAAGGTGGGCATACTGAGAAAAGGTACCAACCCATGTGGCAAAGCATAGATAAGAGATATAGGTTAACATTAATGTAAGAGTAAGCTAGTAGCTGGGTGGCGGTGGCACACGCCTTTAATCCCAGCACTCAGGAGGCAGAGCCAGGCGGATCTCTGTGAGTTCAAGGCCAGCCTGGTGTACAGAGCAAGATCCAGGACAGGCACCAAAACTACATGAAGAAATCCTGCCTCAGAAAAAAAAAAAAAAAGAGTTAGCTAGTAACAAGCCTGAGCTATTGGCCAAGCATTTCCAATTAATATAAGCCTTGGTGTGGTTATTTGGGAGCTTCTGGTGGGACAGAAACTTCTTCCTACAGACATCACCTCATCTGGCCAGTCTAGTCACTTTTTTTTTTTTTTTTTTTTTGACAAAGGGTCTTGTGCAGCCCTGGCTGGCTCTGAATTCTTGTTTTTCGTGTTCTAATTTTACTTTAATTATTTAAAAATGTTTGTATTTGTTATTGATTTCTAGTTCAGGAGATTTATTGATCATGTATGGTAAGAGACTAAGCTGCTTAGCTCTCCTCAATACTTTGCCCTGTCTTCCTGCAGTCCATGACTAGGCACTCCATCAGTCCCATAAGTGCAGGGTGTTCACATCTTCTTCCTTTAGCTGTTTTTTCAATCTGTATGATAGTTGAAATTTACTAGGCTAAGAAATCTAAATAAATAACAACTTAACATACTTTAGAAAAGCCTTCACCTCTGGTATTAGGGATGGAACCCCAGACTTTTCCATGCTAGGCAAAGGCTCTGTCCCTAAGATTCCCCAAGCTAAGAGCCTGGCATAAGGTGCACAGCTGACCAACAATATCCACCACTGTGTCTCTGGAACAAACTACTCTGGTCCAGCCCTTGGTATCCAGTTACTTCTAAGAGAAGAAAAAGATGGCATCAGTACAAGGGCTCATCTGCCCATCCTGTGTTCTAAATGGACATGTATACTGGGCATTCTTTCCACAGGACTTACTGAGGCATCTGGAGCTTTGCTGCGGTCCAGGGCTCCTCTGAATTCTCCTCCTTCTACTGTCTCTGGGTACCAGCTACACATACATACTATGTGGGTATTCTCTCTGCCAGCTCAGCTCCTCTCTCTATCCTCTCAGGCATGTCCCTAGCACCTCCCCTGCATATCTAATTCCATCTTGGTTTTGCTTCGTGGAGGATGCAAAGTGCTATCTGTCACACAGTAGGGACATTACCTATGAGTGTTGTGAGGGTCAGTGTATCTGAAGTAGTACCACGCAGAGTCCACAAAGGTGTCCATGGTATCCGTCTCTCTCCTAGCTGATCTCTTGCACCTGAGAAAAGAAATTTATCAATTGGTTTTTTTCTAGATTTCAGTGCAGTTTCCCACCAGCTGTCCTTCTGAGGTGTTGGGTCTCCTAATATTTCACTTCAAGCAGCATAAGTTTGAGTGAGGGTGTTCTAGGAGAGCTAGGAGAAGAGGGTTGGAGTCTCCAAGAAGAACAGAGGAACCTTCCATTCACTAAGCACACAAGAGCTTGAGTCTATTTTCAATTTAAAAATGAAAAGAAGGGTTGTGTTTTAGATCCCATATTTGTTAAGTAGTCCACACTGGCTTTATGAATATTACCGAAGGAATCAGCTCTCCCACCCCCACCTCAGGTGAGATGATCAAACCGGGCCTCAACTGCACTTTTATTAGGAGGTCTGGGTATGGTGGGGTCCCTCAGGGCAGAAGTTGTCAGAGAAGTTCCTAGGGAATCCTGTGTGTCCCCAGAGAGGGGTGCCAACACCACAGTGATTCTCTAAAGTAAAGTCAGGTCTTTATTTGGATTGCATCTTGTTTTTGACCACAGACAATAGTTTGGGAAGTAACTACAAGAGAAAGGCACCTTCTCTTCTTGCCCAACCTGCGAAAACGCTAAGGAAAAAAGAGGCCCACTACCCAGAAGCAATCACATCTGGCTGGCACTCATCATGCTCACTTCAATTAATGTCTCCTTGGGCTTGAAGACAACTAGATGTTATCACTGATACCAAGCCCACATTGGTAAGGAAGAGGTGCTTGGGCAGATGATGGGCACAAGGTCACCAGGTTGGTCTGGGTGCAATAGAACTAGGCCAAAGGTGTCACAGATGCTATCTCATCAGGTTCCCAGAACACCAGGGAATTATGAGACAGACTACCCCAAACCCTACTGTGCAGGAGGTTTCAAAGAAACAGGTCCAAGGCCTTAGAACTCAAAAGTAAATATATAAAGAAGCTGAGGCTTCTTACTTTTGAGTTAAGTAAAGTTAAGTCCCAAGGTTACTGTCTATATCTCTGTGCTGTACTGCTTGGTTGCTCACAGCCCTGGACGCTCATCAAATTCACTGAGAGAGTAAGGTCAACTCTGAGGCCTGGGCTTTGCCCTTCAGAAATTCTGTGGTCCTGTTAAGAAGCCATATTACCACACAAGGCCGCAATGCTGTACTGAATGTGAGCACTCCTTCACAAAGGGAAAGAGGAAAAACATGACTTGATGTCTGTTATTGTTTAGTCAACTGATAACAGCATCACAAAAATCACACTAGAAGCACTCTACTGATCTTAGAAAAACCCAATCCTACTTCAAAATGAGGAGAAAGATACATTGGGAATTTAGCTCAGTGGTAGAGCACTTGCCTAGCAAGCACAAAGCCCTGCGTTCAGTCCTCAGCTCAGGAAAAACAAAAACAAAATGAGGAGAAAGGAAAGAAAGCTGGTATGTTTCAGCAAAGTAAAGAATGAACACACAGGCTGTCTTTCCTGTACTCCATGATCGGTACTAAGACCTCCATGGCTATCAGAGGCTCTGTACTGGGAACACAGCAGGAGAGAAACACCCTTTCTTACTTTGAGGAAGGTCTGTGGAATAGAAATGACAGTGCAATATAATGAAAACCTGTGGTCTTCCCTCCATTGGCTCAGTGTTTCAGGGCCCGCTACAGTGGTTAGGCCAGTTCTAGACTGTTGTCTCAAAGGTTCCAAAACACCTTTGATATTCCCTTTAGGCCCGTAAAGAAGGCAACATTTAGCACCCAGTGAGAGGAGGGTGTCCTAGATACCTCAGGGTGCTGGTTCTGGCTCCTCACCTTGGGCAGGGACAGTTCACCCACTCCAAAGCTGAGGCCAGTGGGGAGCCTCCTCTGCCAGTGAAAGATGTGATGCTGGGCAAAGTCACAGGCAAGTCTTCCAGCGGCACAGGCACTGGGCCACAGGCTGCGCAGTGGACCATGGGGATCGGTGTGCCCCAGTAGCGCTGCCTGGAGATCAGCCAGTCTTTCAGTTTATCACTCGTCACGTCTCCACCCACTCTCATCCTACGGGCTTTCTCAGTCAGGACTAGAAAGGCATCCTGCCGGGTCATACCTGTGAACTGGAAGGGACGAGAGACAACTGTAAGAAAATCTCCGCCCCTGCTCAGCACCCTGTAACCACCGCATCAATGCGTGACTCTCATAAGGGTCTGGTTCTGGGCAGGGCCACATCAGGACTCCCCTGAGCCCTGGATGCATTTCTGTCCTTCCAGTACTTATCTTCATGTATGTCTGTGCATCACATTTGTGCCCGGTGCCTATGGAGGTCAGAAGAAGGGTGACAGATCCTGGATCTAGAGTTACAGATGGTTGTGAGCTGTCATGTGGGTGCTGGGTACTGAACCTGAGTCACCTGGAAGAACAGTATTCTCAACGGTTGAGCCATTTCTCCAGCTCTACCTCCAAATTTTGAAGGTATTAAAATATTTCCAATAGCCTTGAGAAGCAAAGTTGGCCATGGGCACTGTGCCCACTGTGGTGGGCAGCTGGCCCCGGTTCTGCGGCCCTCCCATTCTGCCATGCCCTGTAATACCTGAAGAGAGAATCACTATCAGTGTCTAACTACCAGTGAAGAGCTGTACGATATGCATTTTAATGACTCTTTCTTATTAGAGAATAAAAATTCAGTGTTATATCTTAAGGCAAGCAAGGGGCACTATTTGCCTCAGCTTGAAGAGACAAATCATTCTCTGTATTTAAATACTCCCGTTTCATAGACAACAGAGCTGAACATTACTAGTTCAAAGGTAGAGTTCTCTCTTCACAGATGCTCTCCAGAGGCCAAACTAATTGGATCAAGTAAGCCATAAGACTAACATTCAGAATGTGGGCACCTGGGATCAGTCCTGTTGTATGCCAGGCATCAGAGACACAAAGATAAATGTAATCTGCTCATGTTCTTAAGGAGCTCACAGTCACAAGACATGTCATGGAAAGAGAGTCCAGCCATGTTTATCAAAGTAACCTCTCCTACTGCTGATATGAAGAGTTTTATCAAAGAGTTTATTGTAAAGCGGTGGCTATGCTCTAGGGGAGAGATTCCCTAGTCTGTACTATTGACATCATGTAGTTGTGATACAAAGCATGACATGCATGCTCTCTTTAAAGTTTATCTTTTCATGTACCACTGTGCTCTGCTCCAGAAGTTCATGAAGGAAAATAGCTTTGCACCACCATCCTTCTCCACCCTTCGTTGACAGAATTTGGCCGAGTATTCAGCAAAGAGCTAGGAGATAACTCAAAAGACTACCTGTAGCTATCTGAAAGCAGACAAAGAGGATAACTAATGCTCCGAGTCCCATCCAGAGGAATGGGGGTTTCTCTGGGCCCCAGAGAGACAGCCTCATTTTGGCCATAGATATCCCCTTCCTCACTTCCTAGGGCAGGGGATCCCTTGTAACCACCCAGGCTTGGCTCTGCCGTACCTCCTGTAGGCTGCACAAATGAGGGCCAAGAAAAAAAGGCATTAATATCTTAGAACATGATTTATATTTGGAGATACAAACATGAAGTTAGGTACTGTCTCTCTTTTTAAAGGGGGAAGGCTGGTCATTATTCTCTTGTAGATGTATGATAGATAGATGATAGATAGATAGATAGATAGATAGATAGATAGATAGATAGATAGATAGATAGACATATAGACAAAATGATAGACAGTGTGGTAGTTTGAATGTAATTGGCCCCCATAAGCTCATAGGGAGTGGCACTATTGGGAGGTGTGGTCTTATTGGAGAAAGTGTATCACTATGGAGACAGCTTTGAGGTCTCTTTTGCTTAAGTTTTGCTCAGTGTCACAGTCCACTTCTTGTTGCCTTCTGATCAAGATGCTACCAGAAACATGACTGCCTACAGGCTGCCATGCTCTCTGCCATGATGATAATGGACTGAACCTCTGAAACTGTAAGCTGCCACCTCAATTAAATGTTTTCCTTTATAAGAGTTGCAGTGGTCATGGTGTCTCTTCACAGCAATAGAAACCCTAAGACAGACAGACAGATAGAAACAGAGGGGAAGACAGAAATACAGAATACCCTTATAGCTAAGTGGTCCCAAACCTGAAACACTTGGATCTTTAGGTATAATAGGACCAGAACCAGAATCAGGGGGACAACCAGTAGATGCTTCTCCAGTGATTCATCATTGGCCAGGTGTGGGACTGACATGCTGAGCCAGTAGTTCCCAGATTAGGGCTTATGTTCAAATTTCCTGGGCAACTATAACTACTCCTGATGTCTACTACTCATGTCCTCACTATCATTGATCATTAGGTTGAAATAGCTGGGTTGAGACTCAACCATCAGGTTGTTATTTTATTTGTTTTGTTTCTTGAGACAGTGTCACACATAGCCTAGGCTGGTTTCAAACTCTATGTAGCCAGGATAGACTTGAACTCCTAACCTTCCTGCCTTACTTCCCAAATGTTAGGATTATAGGTATGCATCACCACACTCTTCTGTCAAGCATCAATATCTGAAAACACTTTCCTAGTGTTCCCACTGTGTAGCCAAGTTTAAAATGAACCCTCTAAGCCAGTGCCCTCAAGTTTTAATGTGCATACAAATCACTCAGGGAGATCGTGTTAAGGTTGGGTGCCTGAGTCACTGATCTAGGAACCAGACTTTTAGCAGCAAGGCTAAAAAAAAAAAGTCAGTGATTCTCAACAGTGGTCCCTGGACCAGCAGCAGCACCAGCAGCAGCACCATGCAAATTTGCTGGAAACAGAACTCTTGGGAAGAGTCAGGATCTCTGAATATGTATTGCTAGTCAGTGTTTTAACAAGGCCAGCATGATGTTGATATATATGCTCAAGTCTGAGACTCACTTAAGTCACTTCCCACTTTAGCCTCCTACCCCAAAACTGCCTCTTCCACCACACTTTCTGGTTCAGTTCAGCACTGGTGGGGTTCGCATCCTGCCAAATGTACCAAATCAAACAAGAGATAACATTGACTAAGCCAACACAACTCAGCATTTATTGAGTTAAACTTTAGGTGCAAACAACAGATAATCTGAAGCGAGGCATCATCTTCCCCAGGAAGAAGAGGCAGCACCAGTCACCTCTCCAAGAAGTCAAAGATTCTTTTGGAAATATCATTCTCAAGCAAAATTCTCAAATGAAGTTGTTCTAGGGTTGGACTAGATTTCAAGCTAAGAAACTTCTAGGTGTTGAAGAATCGTTTTTTGTTCTGAGAAACCAAGCAAGGCTACAAGGCTGCTGGGGTAAGAGAATGAAAGGGCAGGCTGCGCTATGACTGTAAGAGCATGTCTTCACACCAATCTCAGGGTCTTGATTCACAAGTTAATTCTCAGGCACAGGCTGGGGGCACCAACCTCAGCAGATCTGCTCAGTCTCTCTGTGCCATCTGATGAAATTTCAATGACATTGGAGTAGGGCAGGCCCAGGGTTTGGGCTATCCTGGTGTCTTCTGAGCTGGTGCTGGGGATTCCTGTTCAGAGGGGAAAAAAACACAAAACATCATCTCCTCTTAAGTGCTCAAAGCAAAGAATCAGGCAAGCACTGATGCATGGTCTTAGCTTCTTGAAGAGAAGCCAGGAAGCCCCACCACACAGGGAAATGAGACAGGGACTCAGAGAGCCTGACACTAGCGCAGCTGTACACCATGCTGGGGTTATTTCCTGTAGGTCTTTTTCTCTGGTTTTTCTGATTCTTAAAAACATAGTTGCAAGCCTAAAAATCTACCATATATGCTACTGAAACTTTACATTACAGGTGTGAGGGGAGCCTCTTGAATCTCCTCAGTGGCTTCCTGTTGGGAAGCAGTGCTGACTTAACTAGCATTTTAACACCCTAAAAAGACCCCCCAAGTCTGGACACTGAAAGCTGTGTCCCTGAGATCAGAAGAACATTCTGAACAGGCATTTATTCTTCAACCCGCATATATTCTTAAGGAAATGAGGTGGGACACAAGAAAACCACTCACTCAGAGTGGGGAACCTGCTGTTCTGTCTTTAGCTGTCACGGAAGCAGGCTTTGGTGGTTCTGTGGGACAGGGTTCTGAACGTGGTACTGCTGACATGATGGATTATTCTGAGCACAGTAGTACAGGGAGCATTCTACACCATCCTGGCCCCTTCCCAGACCACTTCTTCAGCAGGGACAAACAAAATATCTCCCAAATTTGCCCAATGTCTCCTGGTGCTGACACCTCTCTCATGGAGAATGCTGGACATGACCCACTAGTGAAGGGTCACACAAGAAGGTTAAGCTAGCTCTTCTGCAAAACAGTTCCAGAGGGGTGGCTTAAGGTCCTGAGACATGTCTAAAGTTCCACAGTATAGTGCAAAGCTGTGTCATTTCCAACTGAGTTGTGACAGGAAGCACCAAGTCAAGTGAATGAATGTCAGTGGACTGAGGTGTGAGGGTGCAGGGCAAAGAGTATCAACAAGTGTTTACAGTCACAGGGGGAAAATGATGGTCATTCACCAAATTTTCAATGTCCAGCTTAGGGTGACTCAGTGACAGTTCAAACAGTACTCCAGGCTGGGTGCTGGTGGCACACGCCTTTAATCCCAGCACTTGGGAGGCAGAGGTAGGTGGATCCCTGTGAGTTCAAGGCCAATCTAGTCTACAAAGTGAGTTCCAGGACAGCCAGGGCTGTTACATGAAGAAACCTTGTCTAGAAAAACAAAAAACAACAACAACAAAAGAGAACTCTAAAATATGACATATTCTAACTGTGCAGGTTGAATGGTGAAAATTCTGCTTTATTTCTTACGTGTTTCTGCTTCTGTCCTTAGGTTTCAGAAACAACACTTTAGAAAATACTAATTACATAACTAAGGGAAATCAAGACAACAGAAAAACAATTTCCCATGCTCACCTAAAAACATCCAAATCCTTAGAACTTTAATATTGCATCAGTGATGTAGCCCAAAATGTCAAACACCCCCTTGTCTTCCCCAAACAGCCATATCAAGACTCTCTTCCTTGTTCACTCTGGCTGGCTATTTAAAACATCTTACTAGTTATAAAATGCGTGGTTATAATGGTCAGAAGTGACCTGAGTGCTCAGTGGCGGCTTTCTGCTTTGAAACCTCTTCAAAACACTTCACCAAAGTGACCTGAGGTCATTTCAATACGAAATGTTACTTGTTCTGCATGTTTGTAGCAACACGGAAAACACGATCTATCACAACAAAGGCCTGCTACTCTGCAGCATAGCTGTGATCTCCCACAGGAAACAGGTGAGAGGAGCATCGTATGTTCTGAAGGCAGATTTTAGATAGCACTGTCATTAGGTCCCCTTCCTGTTCCAGGACAATAGATGAGTATTACTTACGAATAAGACTGCTTCTAACTATGCCTCTGTATACTGCTTCGTGACTCTTTCTTGAGTAGTTCAGATTAGCCTTCTCCACAATGCTAAAGCCTAGCCTATATGGATCAGATGTACTTGGAACTCCTGTCTCTGCACTTGCTGGTAGTTTTGTGAATTTTATTTTGTTTGGTTTGGATCGGTTTTGTGAGACAGGATCTTACAGTATCCTACAACCATTTGCAGATGCAAGATTCTCTTAGCGCTGGGACTGAGTCACTAAACCTGACTTGGATTTTGAAATTAGATTTTTAGTCTGTGTTGTATTATCTCCCATATCATGTGTCCAAGTGTTCAAAACTAACACATGATCCATGAGCCTGGGCTTTTTAAATACTCAATAGCAACCAGAAAGGCATGATATACCTAATATGCTTTATGTTAAAAAATTAAAAATTGTTTTATTATTTATTATTATATTATATTATTATTAGTGTGTGTACATGTATGTGTACATGTGAACATCTGGAAGACAGCTTTCCTAATCAGGTTCTGGTAACTATACTCAGGTTGACAGGCTTGAGTGACAAGCACTTTTACACACTGAGCTGTCTCACCATCCCCACAATATGCTTTCAAACACACAGGGTTTGTTGTTGTTGTTTGTATGCTTGCTTTTGCCTTTTAAAGATGTGTTTTACCATGTTGTATGGGCTTTAAACTTGTGATATGAGATTGGAGAGATGGCTCAGCAGTTAAAAGAACTTGTTGTTCTTATAGAGGACCTGGGTTCAGTTCCCAGCACCCACATGACAGCTCACAACAATTTGTAACTCCAGTTCCAGGAGATCTGATTGCTTTTTCTGACCTCCAAAGGCACAAGGCATATAAATGGTACACATACACACATGCAGGCAAAACACTCATACACATAAAATACATTATAAAAAAACAAAAAAAACCAAAAAACCTTAAGCTTGTGATTGTCCCACCTCAGGCTCCTGAATGCTAGGAATTCAAGTGTGTACCACCATGCTTTTGAATTTAGTTCTTAACTAAATAATGATGACATAGAAGATAAGTAACTGGAGTTGCAGCTCATGGTAAATTGCTTTGCTAGCAATGTGTGAAGCCCTAGATTTGATCCTCAGCTCCAAAGAGAATGAAGAAAAGGGACACAAGTTTCATTAAGAGGCAAAACCCATCACAGAATCAATGGTAAACTCCTCTAAGTGACAGCAAGAACTGTGAGTCCTTTGCCCTTAAACCTGCATAATGCATTAGCATGGGATGACATCTAAACAGCGACATACCTATTTTTGAATCTAGAGAACCTTCTAAGTCATCCTTGGCCGTGATAACGATGGGGACCTCCTGCAGGGTGAGGATGTTCACAGCCACCACTGGTGTGAGGCAGTCTGGAAACAAGAACAGATCCATCAGCTGGACACACCCAGAGCAGACAAGTGAGAAAAACAGCCAACATCTTCCATGCTGTGTGCTAATTGCTACTGAGCTGGTCCTTTGAAGAATATTAGCAGATAATTTACACCAGCATAAATAAGAAGACTAAACAAGAATGGGAGAAAAGTGTTGTCCATCCATATACACGAAGAAATGAGAAGGATGTTTCAGAGTTCCAGACGGAAAAGCCATCTCATTACCACCTTTTACTTTTCAAAATTATCTCCAGCAGTGAGAATAATAAAACACACAAAACCTTCCTGTAGTGAAAAGAGGAGACATAAACTTCTAAAGCAAATGGATAATGTGGCTAGCAAGCAGAAAACAGCAGAGCAGAAAGCAGGAAAAGAGATTTCCAGACATGCAGAGACAGAACAGTTCCTTCCCATGGACCCTTTTCATAGGAGATAGTGGGATATGTGTGGCCTTGCAAGATGAAAGGCTAAATGGAGAAAGAGACAGGTGTAGGATCCAGGAGACAAGGACCCAACAAAGAAAAGACACAAGAACATTCAAGAAAGAAGTCAGAGGAACTTTAGACATATAGCTGAGGCGTGAAGGGTGACCAAGTCAGACCTGAACCAAACAGCATCCTGAGCATCTTTGGGAAAATGAAGGAACTAATAAGATTGTTTGAGTTTGGAGAAAACTCTATCAAGAGTTTTAAAGAGCTGACAGAATGTGGTGAGATTCTGCCAGAAATTCAAAGAACACAATGAGAGAAAGGTAGAGACACACACAGAGAAAGACTATGAATTTTAGAAAAAAAAAAAGTTATATAAGAATGAGAAAGTTAGGCTGGGCCTGGTGGTATATGTCCATAATCCCAGCCCTCTGGAGGCTGGGGCAGGATTGTGAGTTTAAGGGTATCCTGAGCTACACAGTGACTTCTAGACTAGCCTGGGCTACACAGAAAGAACCTGTCTCTAAAATAAACAAGTAAACAGACAGAACAATGTAATCACAGTATACATGACCCAGTTACAAATATTTATGAGGCAAATGACTTGCAATTTACCCAGTCATTTATTATCATGAATGAACAGTAGTGGGGAAAGAGCCATACATTTCGACATCCTCCATGAATATGTGGATTAGAAGCATAAATACCCAAAGTCCAGAGGAAAGAACAGTAACTGACAAATGCTGTAATTTGCTTGCGTTTATTTACAACATCACCATTGGTAAGAGCCATCACTGACTGGCCTTTGAAATTCATACTTAACAACACTTGTTTTAAACATTCATATAGTTATCTAGAACAGATTCTATAAGTCCTCAAATTAAAATTGGCCAAGAATCAGGATTTACATTTCAAAAAGGTAAAGGCAGGATCTCAGCTGCTGCTCCAGCGTCATATTCCCTGCCATGATGGTCATGGACTCATCATCTGAAACTATAAGCCCAATAAACAAATTATTCGAAGAGCTGCTTTGGCCATAGTGTCTTAATACAGGAAAAGAAAAGCAACTAAGATAATTCCTCAGCTTATCATGTGAAGGTGCTTTGAATTTATGGTGTCTTCAACTCAGAGATTATAATCTTTTATAACTTATTAGCTCATTAATTATTAAAATTACTTCATTTTGTGGTCCCAAATGAACTATGAGGGGGATAATGTATGACCTGGATACTTACAGTATTTAGCTTTTTAATGTTACTTTTCAACCATCATAGCTTCAAGGAATCTCAAATTACTCAAAAGGGAGCTCTCCCTTCCAACAGTTGAAACTAATTCATTCTTTCTTTCTTTCTTTCTTTCTTTCTTTCTTTCTTTCTTTCTTTCTTTCCTTTCTTTTCTTTCTTTCTTTCTTTCTTTCTTTCTTTCTTTCTTTCTTTCTTTCTTTCTTTCTTTCTTTCTTTCTTTCTTTCTTTTTCTTTCAGCAGAGTAAAAAAAATCCGAGATGATTAACCTTCATTGTCAACTTTCCTGGATTTTAGAATCACCATGAAAATATATCTCTGGGTATATCCATAAGGAGTGTCCAAAAAGAATTAACTGAGATAGGGGGGAAGACCAACCCTGAGTGTGTGGGTCTTGGACTGAATAAAAAGGAGAAAGTGAGCTAAACAGCAGCATTCACCTCTCTCTCTGCTTCCCAGCTGTCTCAGTCAGTGTTCTGTTGCTGTGAGGAGACACCATGACCACAGCAACTCTTATAAAGAAAGCATTTAATTGGTGCTTGCTTACAGTTCAGAGGGTTAGTTTTTTGTCATCAAGGCAGGAGCACAGAGACTGGGAGCACAGTGGCAGACAGGCACGGTGCTGGAGGAGTAACTGAGAGCTACACCCTGATCTACAGGCAGAGAGACAGAGAAAGACCACCCCAGTGACTCACTTCCTCCAACAAGGCCACACCTCCTAACTCTCTCAAATTGTGCCATTTCCTGGTGATCAAGCATTCAAATATATGAGCCTATGGGGGCCATTCTTATATAAACCACCACAATAACTATGGATACAATGTAACCAACTGCCTCAAACTCCTGTTACCATGATTTCTCTACTCTCAAACTTCCCTGAAGTTGCTTTTGTCAGAAAAGTAATGAATACCTGAGACATGGGCACAGAGGCCTTAAAAGCACACATGGAATTTTAACTTGTATCTTTTCTTTATTTTAATATATAACAAAAAAAGGTGAAGGCAAGGGACAAGACCTGCCTTGTGTTGGGTGTCTTCTGTCCTAAGCCCAGAGGAACCTATAGTCAGGATTGTAAAAACCTGTCTCTGACCCAGGAGACGGGGCCCACAGCAGGCTCCTAGGCAGGGTGGGTGACTAGAGTTGTTCTCATTGCACTCAGGAAACAACCACTGTCTGAAGCAGAAGTAAACTGTCATGACCCTGTCTCTCCAGTTTACATCATCCTAAACAGTTTGACAACCCAATAATTCAGATGTGAGCTACAGGTTAAAGTTCACAGTGTACAAGGAATCATAAAGATGAGATTTCTGCAGAGACATTTAATCCTTCTCCAGAGACCTACTTCTAATCAACAAGGGCGTCCTTTCACCCACATCCTCTCCCTGGCTGGCTGCAGTTTTGTGTCTAATCAAAGGTGTGTGGTCTTCTCTTTGCCAAGGAAAAGGCCAGAAGTCCTAGTGACAGCAATCACTCCGGGAAACCCAGAACAGGCAACTGAATGTTGTCAATTTTTATCCTCATGTTTTAAAATTTTAGTGCATTTATTTATTTATGGGAGATGAAGAGTGGGAGCGTGTGCCACAATATGTGCGCATGCATGTGCGTGCGTGTGTGTGTGTGTGTGTGTGTGTGTGTGTGTGTGTGTCTGTTTGTGTCTGTGTGTGTGTATCTGTATGTGTGTCTGTGTATGTGTCTGTGTGTGTGTGTCTGTGTCTGTATGTGTCTGTGTGTGTCTGTCTGTCTGTGTCTGTGTGTGTGTCTGTGTGTGTGTGTATGTGTATGTCTGTGTGTGTGTCTGTGTGTATATATGTGTGTCTCTGTGTGTGTGTAGGTCAAAGGACTTACAGGAGTCTGCCCTCTCCTTCTACCATGTGGGTCATGAGGATTGAACTGAGGTCTTCAGGCTTGATGATGATAAGCACCTTTATCCGCTGAGTCACCTCTCCAGCCCTTTTTCAGTAAAGTTTTATTTGCTGGAGGAATTAAAAATTCGAGAGATGATTCTCTATCAGAAGAAAGCTTTAAACTAATACTGAATCAAAAGGTAAAGAACTGAGCTTCTGGGCAAATTCTGGATGCAGAAAGGCTGGGACTCGGGGAAACTCAGGACAGACAACTTAATGTTGCTAGAGCTGTTTTAGCCTCAGGTTTTGAGATAAAAAAGTAAAAATTACAGCTAAGATGAAGAACAGAGGATGAAAAATGGCAGACATGTGGGAAGTGTATGGGTCTTGGGAACTGCTACCCGGATGAAGGATGTAACTCCATAAGCCTGTGCTCACCACATAGCTCACCTCTGCCAGAGACTACTGCCTTCTGCAAGGCGCTCTTCAGAGAACTGCAGCCATGTAGAAGCCTGTGGTTAGGAGAAATGGCCACATGAGAAATGCCATAAATGGCCTCAGGGGTGGCTGTGTATGCTGTCAGTTTCTCTCCTGTGTCTTGTCCATCAACCTGGCAGGATAAAACATGACATTTCATTTTCAGTCCTCCTCCTGGCTCCTCATTCCACCCCTTCCCTCATTTCCAAACAGCCAGGGCAGCTTCTGACCACAGGACCAGGAATGTATAAGAGGAGGGGCCAGGTAGAAGAACAGAAGGGGGACTCCTTGGTTAGTCCCCATTCTGCACTCAGCATCAGGCATCGCAAGATAAAGTAGAGAAAGCTTGCTCACAAAGATGCCCTCCTGGTTCTCTTCTTGCTGGGCAGTGCTGCAGTTAGGTGCAGAGCTGCTGTGCATTCAAAGAGCTCCAAAGTGCAAGAGAGATCTGTGGGCAAGAATGCTGGGGGGTGCCAGTGTGTTATTACCTTTAATGTGAAGTCCAGGTGGCAGCCTACACAGTCTCCAATCCAGTGGGCCTGCATGCCTTTTATTCCGTACCACTCTGGGAGGTCTGCCAACGCGTCCTGCATGGCCTGGGGAAATAAGAACAGGACAGGAACGTAGCAGTGCAAAGCTCACGCGAGAACAAGTGGTGAGGGGCTTGAGGTAGGAAAAGTGGGGACATGGAAGAAAGTTCTAGACATCAGACTCCTTCAGTCTCATGCCTCAGGAGAGGTAGCAAAAGACAACAGAGGCACTCAATTCACAGGCCCATCTAAGCAAGATCGACCTGATCTACCTCTGTTCAAAGTTCAAGGTTTCATGGAAGAAAGAAAGCTAATGGACAAAGACCCCAATTCACATCATTGCTGAAAGTGTTTACAGTATTCTCTTCCCCAGTTTGGGGGTCAAAAGAAGTTCACGATCTGCAGATGAGCTCTACCCCTCCCCCCTTTTCCCTCCACCTCTCCCCACTGTTCCCTGCCACAGAATATTCCTGTTGACTGATGCTAATTCCCACACAATTTTGTATCACCCTCCCACTGGGCCACACCAACAGAACCTCACCTTGTGATTATTTCCTCCTCCTCTTCCTCCTCTCCCTCCTCTTCCTGTTCCTCCTCTACCTTTGCTAGTTCTTTTTGTTTGTTTTGATATAGAGTCTTAGCCCAGGCTGACTTTGAATTTCCAATCCTCTTGCCCCCTCCTCCAGAGTGCTGAGGTTACATATTTAGCAGGCAGTGGTTTTATTTTGTTTTCTTCCCAGATTGCAGGACAAGGGTGGGAAACTCCTGGTGGAGGGGCTTAGGCTTAAAATATTCAGATGGAAATGAGGCCCAAACACTCAAATAGGAAGCAATGTGAATGTTTTCACGTGCTAATTCTGGAAAGATGCTGGCATCAAATCTAAGCAAACCTATGAATATTTTTACAAAGTGAAATAATTTTTTAAATTGGCCAAATAAAACCAATATCTTGAAGCACCAAACAAGCTCTTTTCAGTTCACTGTATAAAAAATGCATTTATTCAAGGCTAATTTTGGATAAGCAGGTCTTTAGGGAATGCTTACCCCACAATACAGCAGATGACGGAGCAGCAACACTCAGCTTTTCTTGGCCATAGCTGTCCATCCATCCCCTCTTTGTGGGGGCAGTCCTGATCTCATCTCACATCTCTACCCTTGGCAAGTAGTTCCTCTTCCCACCATGTAAACCACAGGTATAGAAATCCAGTTGGCTCACAGAATACAAAAATCTGGGGAAATGCCACGTTTTTACACACACACACACACACACACACACACACACACACACACACACACACGAGGTATGAAATCTGGAAGAGTCAGGCTTGGTGGAACGAACACACAATCCTGGCACTTGGTAGGCTGAGGCAGGATGATCTGGAGTTCAAGGCCAGCAAGAGACCCTGTGCACAAACATACACAAATAAAAGTGTCTACAAAAATCAAAAACAAACAAACAAAAATATAGCTCTCACCTCCCAAGGGAGAAGAGATGGTTTTATTTTGGAGTCAAATATGAATGACTATAGCCTAAGAACACAGATTTAGGTTACACCAAGTTCCATGTTCTAATGTGGTAAAACTTTGAGGAAGTTTTTATAGTAACAGAACAAAGAAAGCCATAAATCAAGGCACTCTGTAAAGACACTGGTGAGAGCAGCAGGCAGGCAGCTACAGCAAAGTGAGAAACCTCTACTCGGGCCTCAGAGCCTACTTGACAGCATTCTTAGCACTTTGATTGACTGGAAACTAGTGGTCTGTTTATACATTCCAAAGAAAAACTAGAATTCTGTTTATACATTGCCAAGGATTTAGCTAATGGTCACAGAGACTTTAGGTTAAGTACAGAGGGGGCAACAAATGGCTACTAAGAGGGCTACAGTTACTCCAAGAACAGTGGGTATGGTTTTGCAACATTCTAACCTCTCCACACGTCTGAAGTTCTAATCAGTGAACCTGCCTTGTAGAAGATTCAGTGGAAATATAGTTCTTTTCAGGAGCTTTCATTCACAAAAGTAAATGTGTGGAAGCGGATATGTCACAAGTTGGAAGAATGCATCTCCCTCTGCCCTGTTCCATAGACTCCCAGGCAGGGCACAATTCTGAAACTACCATTTAATAAGGACAGTTAGCTAAAACTGCTAATGGGAATGAGACATCTAACACAGCCAAACCCCGTGTCTCCTGCATGGAAAACACCATCCACCCTCCTCCCCTCATGGGTAAGGCAGCACAGAAGCCCATGAGACACCGCGCCACACTGTCTTCTCTCCTGTCTCAACTCTCCGTGTCAGTCAGTGGCTGAGATCATCAACTCTGAAGGGCTGGGCAGTGGTGAAAGGAAGAAATGTAACACACTGCACAACAGCTTTTAATAAAATGGTTTTCTGTTTCAGAGTTCCCTTTAGATTCTGGAACACAAGTGAATGAGAGGGCTCCTGGACATAGCCTAGCTCCTAAGCTGACCATATGGACAGCCCTGGGGCAAACACAGAGCTCTGAAGATCCTGTGCCAGACAGACCTCAGGCCAAGCCAGCACCCACTGCTCAATCCTCCTCCACTTGGACTGCAGAAGCTGAAAAGCCCACATCCACTTTGCTCTCCCCCTTAATGCTGGGGATGGCCACGTGACACAAAACATGAATGGAATTCTATTGGGGGCGGTGGTTCTGGGAAATTCCTTGCTTTCCAGATAAACGGACTCATTTGTGCTGCTCCTGTTGCTTCTGTCTTGAATGGAGATGTAGAATCTGAAGGGAGCTACAGTAGCCATCTAGCAACCATAAGATCACAAGCAGAAAGAAAAGGCCAAGAGAAGCACTGAGATGCTGTCAGAGCTCTTGTACCAGTTTGGTACCAGCAACTGGTTCCCATTATGTGGGAAAAGTAACTTCCTCTTGTTTAAACCACCATGACTTTGGTTTTCAGTTGCTTACAGCTGAAAGCATTCTTAGTTGGTCCAATGTCTCATCCTTATCTACACAGCTGGGCTTCTTCACTAATTCATGACAATTATACCAGGTTTTCAAGGGTCCTTCCTATTTCATTGGATCTTTAGGAATCTGGACCAAATTTTCCAAGCTCCTATATTTTTCCCTCTCCACTCAAGTGTCTGATGGCCATCTCAGACTCAAAGAACTACCTCTTCCCATTGGGACTACCTCTACCCAGGAAGACTACCTCTATCCAAGAGTGTGGTCTAACCCTGAATGTCCCATCAAGTCAGGTCTTCCTGGATGCTACCACTACCTGCATCTTCTCATCCAATAGATCACCAAGCTCAGGGGATTCTGCCTCTGAGTACTTTTCTAACGCCCTTCTACTTCTCCTAGCTAAGTCTAGATTCTGCATGTTGGGACCATTGCAAAAGCATTTGGACTGATGCCTGCAGCCACAACTATCTACTCCACAATGTTCTTATGAAAACAAAATTCTGGGGACTCCTGGGATGGCTCCATGGTTAACAGTGCTTTCTGCTCTTGAGAGGCCTGAGTTCAGCTTCCAGCATCCACTCTGGGTGGCTCACAACCATCTGTAACTTCAGCTCCGTAAGATCCAGAACTTCTGGCCTCCTTAGGCACTTGTACTCACATGCACATGATTTTAAAACTATATATAAATCTTAAAAAAAAAAAGAACTACCTCAGGTTCTGACATTACTCCTTTCTTTACAATATTTCATTATTTCATATGGTTCCTGTGCTGAAGCCAAAATTTGTCAGACTTGATCCAGCCCCTAATCACCTCTCCAGACCTACTTTGAGTTTTCCCATGTGGCTCTCAAGTTTAACTTGCAATGTTCATCTCTTAGCTTCTCAACCCCCAGCACACATCTATCTGCTAGTGCCATTCAATATGGCTTCCCAATACAAGGTGGGGCTGTCATGAGGGAGTGTCCTCACAACACAATGTTGGCTTTATGATCTGTTCCACTCTTGCTTGTCTCTCTGCAGCCCAAACACTGAAGCTTTCATTTCCAGTTGGTTCACTGTTATAGGTGGTTTCTGTTCTCCTGAAATTCAATGATCATCTTTTCTTTTTAAGTCCTGTTCATTTATATAACAAATGCCTTGGTTTTATAAACTAACTTCAACCCCTTGGTCCATGTCTAAACTTTTTTTTTTTTTTAATTAAAGGTCACAGTATCCTGCTTTAAAAAAAAAAAGATGTAGTAATTTTTATTACATGCTGGGTACTGCAGATGATACCTTACAAGGGCGCTGGATCATGCTTGACCCCCTTTGGGTCTATTTTGTTCTAGAAGTTCTATTTGAGTCTCTTAGAGGCTTACTTTTAATCTTCAGTAAGGCCACTCTAATCTGTTTTTATCCTCAGTCCTAGGGTGTTTTCCATGCTTTCAAACATGGCCTTTGGAGATTCAATGCCTCTCTTAGCCAGGCATAATCCAAGGGTCTCCATGTGCCACACAGCCCTGGGTCTGCTCTGCTCTCCTACCAGAGCCACTTGCTGGGCCAGCATCATGGACTCTCCCTCTTCTCCCAATTTTCAGTGCCGACCTCCTAAGAGCTTTTTCAATAAATCTGCACAGGAGTTCAGCAAGAACCAAGAGTTACCATGGCAACTCAGCATTTCTGCTGAACAGTTGAAAATTCACAGCTGACAGTTTAAAGAACAATGCCTCTGGTGCCAGGTTATTACATTACCAACTCAAAGCAGAGGTCAAAACACAGGCGCTAACAAGGTGGCCTTCCAACGCTGCCATTAGAGTTGCATGGCAGGTCAGGGAGGGGACTGGCACCCCTCCTTTCCAATATGCCACCAGACAGTCTCTGGAGGGCTGGGGGGACATGGTGGATCTGAGGCTAGCAGAGAGGACCTACGCAGAGAGCTATACTCAGCTTTGCTTTCCTCCAGGCATTGACTAATAAGCTCTTTTGAACCTTTTCCAGATCCATGCCCAGGATCACCTGTATAAAAATGAACTAAAAAAAATGAGCCTCACTGCAGACAGTCTTTAGAGGGAGGACAATGAGGGTCTGCTGAGCTGGTGGGACATGGTTTGGGTTTGGCCCAGAATGTGGAAACCAGAAGTTGCCTAGAACTCTGTGCTTTCTCTGTACATGAGCCCTGTACATAATATCCGACCCCAGTTATCTGCAGATGAGTCACAGACTTTGTCTGGGCATGCCATGGGTTGCCTTTGAGACTTAAGTCAAAATAGAAGCACTGAGTATTACACATATACAGAACTCATGACTTTGTCCAGGCCACTATAACTTAGTAAGCAATTCTGCTTCTACTGTTGGCTTTGTCTTGAATCTCTGAATACAGAAATCAGCCAGAAGGTACTTGAACCATCATCAGGTCTAATCACTCATCTCGCTCACCAGGAAACTGAGACCTAAGGTAGCCTTCACAATTGACCAGAGATATAGCAGAGTCACCTCTGGAGCTTTGGACATGGCCCAGCTCATTCCTACCCTGGCCTTCCCTCCTAGAGACCAGTCAGCTCTTCACTTCTAGGTCACTATAAGCAATGGTGCAGTGAACTAGAACTCAAGCCCTCTGTAGCATCACAAAGACTCATTCCTCTTTTCTTTCTTGGATGCATAATTACAGACAGAGTTACTGTCACTTTGTGACAGCTCAGCAAACAATGACCTGGAATGAGCTCTAGGTGCCTTTCCTGTTAAAACTTCAAGACCCTTGCCCACCACCCTGTATGTGAACACTGAGGCTCTCTGCCTCCTATCTCTAAAGTTTCTGCTTAGCCTCCTTCAACAGAACTGCCAGTGTGGTCCACCCATATATTGGGCATTACTGAGAGTCTCTACCACCACTTACCTTTGCATATGCAGTTGTCTTAATGAACCACTGTCGGAGGTATTTCTTCTCCACCTTGGCTCCAGAACGCCATGAACAGCCATATTCATTCACTTGCTCATTGGCCAGCACTGTTTGATCCACTGGATCCCAGTTAACCAAAGCCTGTTAGGACACAGGAGACAGAGGGGTACACTGTGGTGAATGCCCTGTGGAGGTGCCCTTGGAAAACAAAGTTGTAATGGAACAGTGTGGCTCCAAGCCTGAGGGCATCTTTAGGGTGGGCTGCCTGGTGAATGGGCCACTAGCAAGCTGTGACAAGGACACATGAAATGCCCTTGTTAGAGTAGACTTGGGGAAGATGGAAGTCTTTGAGCATATGTCTTAACTCAACTTTATGTTTTTCTTGAATGACAGGATGAACATTCAGGATTTGAAATTTTAGAACACTTTGGAAAAGAAGAAAAAAATGGTATCTATTTGAAGTTTAGAAGAAAAGGGTTACTGCAGAAGAAATAAATATACTGGTTTTAATAACAACACTAACTTTTACTGAGTGGTAACTAGGTGATGGTTCCCCTGTTAAGTGGTTTACAGCTAAGCGGCTGTCTAGCTCAGGCTTAGCTTGAGTATTCCTGCCTCAGTCTTCCGAGAGCCGGGATTACAGTTGTGTGCCATCACCCTTGGCTTATATGTGGCCCTTTAATTCTCACAACCAGCTTTGTGGTAAGAAGACTCTTACCCTCAGAGAATCCTATCACAGAGAATGAATATGAGGAGTAGAGAAGCAATATAACACACCTAAGGTCTCAGAGACACTGACAGACGGGAGGAATTCCAGTCTATGTTTAAAGACTGCAGTTTAAGTTAATGTGTATTATATATATAGAAAGCAGACAAGTCTTAAGTGAACAATTAATGAATTTTTAAATGAGTAAACATGTAACCACTACCCATGTCAAAATATAGAACATTTTCAGCACCTCAAGAAAACGGCTTTGCTTTTTGCCTTCAACACTGTACCCCAAGGTAATCACTCTGAGTCCTACTCCATAGATTCACTTGGCTGGAAAAACACATGGTCCTAACCATGAGGAAAACTCTCTAGAGTTCCTGATAGTTTCTGTCTTTGTTTAAAACAAATACTTCTGCCTACACTTACTACTGTGAATATTCAGGTGCCTCCTGGTAAAAGAAGGACTGAGTACAGAGGAGTCTAAGGGTTGTACTACCTGATTTAAGATACATTGCTTAAAAATTTAATGGTAGACTATGTGCAATTCCTCAGTACCAAAAAGTATTCCTAGTAATTCCCATCAGAGATGGTGCTAGCAACTGCCTCACAGATCCTTCTTCCTTCCTGTTTACAGTCTGCATCCACCTCAAGTCTGGTCTGCAGGCTGGTTTGCCTTCTATAAGGAACTCTGGTGGGCTGTGGGAGGTGCTACTAAAGGCTACAACACTGTCAGACAGCCTCTCCTGCTTGGTCAGGGACCCAACACTGCCCTCCAGCCTGTGCTAGAGGTATCCTTACTTTCACTCCTTTGAGACAGTGCTAAAGTCAGCACAGTTAGCCTTTTATTATAGTCTCTTCAGCGGCTCTTTCAAGATATGTTGGAACCTGACTGGTTCTGGATATTTTCCACATCAGCATAAAAATCAGGGTGGGGAGAGGTTAGCTAATCCATGAGTTATAATCTAGATTATAATTTTATAATAGTATAAATACACTATTATAATCGTAAGTAGTAAGTTACTAATATACTAAATAGTAAGTAGTATAGTTAACCAAAAACTTGAAGCTATGCCATCTGGAATCAGACAGAAAGAGGAGCATGGAACAGTTTATCTCCTCTAACATGGGGTCCCCAAGTCTTCCCCTCATAATTTTATAGAGAAGACCAGGATATTAAGTAACTAGGACCTAAAATTTTTAGGTTCATAAACCAAAGAAGATTGGCCCATCTATTATTATCACTAATATCAGAGAGATTGAAGGAAAGTTTTACTTAGTAGGTATAAAAATAGTTTTATTTTTGGTAGTGCTAGGTCTTCTGCAGATGAGTCTATGAACTTGAGACTGCACTCATCTTTACCAGTATATGCAAACAAACAGGATTTTCTTTCTTTCTCATGTAAAAGTTATGATTCTTCTCTCTCTCTCTCTCTCTCTCTCTCTCTCTCTCTCTCTCTCTCTCTCTCTCTCTTAGTATTTTTGGGACAGGGTCTCACTATGTAGCTCTGGCTATCCTGGAATTTGATTTGCCTGCCTCTCCAGTGTTAGGATTAAAGGTGTGTGCCACCACACCTGACTAAAAGTGATGATTCTTGGTGCTGGAGAGATGGCTCAGAGGTTAAGAGCACCGCTTGCTCTTCCAAAGGTCCTGAGTTCAATTCCCAGCAACCATATGGTGGCTCACAACCATCTGTAATGAGATCTGGTGCCCTCTTCTGGCCTGCAAGGATATGTGCACTATATACATAATAAATAAATTAAAAAAAAAAAAGTGATGATTCTAAGATGGAGAGAATTTATAAAAATTTAAAAAGGTAGCTAACATGAATTTACCTCCCTTTGATAGGCCAGACCAGCTTCGTAGAGTTTGATAAACAGGTATTGAGTCCATTTGTAGTAATCTGGCAAACAGGTAGTGATTTCCTGCCAAAAAAGGAAGAGGCAATAAATACACAGTCCAGCCCTGAAGCACTCCACCACACATACCACAGCTTTGAGACTCAGTTCTTAAAAGCAATTAAATTGCTAAGTATTTACCAACCTATTTCCACTAACTCTCAAAGTGAGGGAATAGCCATTTATTCTGGGAAGAAAGAGATGATGTTATTGGAATGTCTTCCCCACCTTTCCTAGACATGTTCAATGATAACAGACTCTCAAGTCATTTGCCTATCACCCATGACTAACAAGTTCAGTACAGGAAACAGCTATGAACTTATTTAAAAAAGATTTTATTTTTACTTTAAATTGTATGTGTGGGTATGGGGTATATGCACACGAGTGCCATTGTTGACAGAGCCCAGAAGAGGTTGTCAAATCCCCTGGAACTAGAGTTAACAGATAGCTGTGAGATGTCAGATACGGGTGTTGGAAACTGAACTTGGGTCCTCAAAAAGAGCAGCAAGTGCTCTTAACTACTGAGCTTTCCAATCTACCAACTGAACATTTTGGCCAGGATAAACACATGCTGGGGACCAAGAATGTAGCTCATCTGAAAAGCAATTATAAATGTCAAGAGTATTTGTTCAGTGTGATATGATTCTCATTTCAAACTAAATCTTGTGTCTACATAGAACCTAGGGTCTGATAGTTTCCACAGCCTCATTATTTTTCCCTTTATTGTATAATATGAATCAAACATGGGGAGATTAATCAAAAGTTCCTAAAGTTTACTTTCTGCCTGAAAAACACATTTAATATAGAATTTTTAAAAATGGACCTTGACAAACTGACGACGTTTGAAGTTGGTAAAGTCAAACCAGATTATAACCGACATGTACTTCCTTTTTCTATTGAACTTTAAAAAGCGTAAATAAAGTGGATAAAGGGCTGTGTGTCCCTTAGAAGTAGAGTGCTTCCCTAACAACCCCAAGGCCTTGAAGTTAGTCCTCAGCACTGCCATAGGTGGAAAAAGAGAAAAGGGGTTGCTGTGAAGCAATCTTCATACACTGTAAATATGTATTACTCGCATTGGTTAATAAAGAGCTGACTGGCCTATAGCACGGCAAGCAAGCCAGACAAGGAGGACGCTGGAAAGAAAAAGAGAGGAGTCTTGAGAGTTGACAGCTAGACACAGAGGAAACAGGACATGTACAAAACGAGGTGATAAGCCATGAGCCACGTGGTAGAACTTAGATATGGGTTCATTTAAGTTGTAAGAGCTAGTTTGTAATAAGCCCGAGCTATCGGCTGAGCATTTATAATTAATATTGAGTCTCCCTGTCAGTTATTTGGGAACTGGAGGGTGGGAAAGAAAAGTCCTCCTACAGGGGGTAACAGGAAAGTGTGTCTCAAATGGCTCCATTTGTAGCTGACTTTCAAGGAAAGGTAGGTATACTTTACCCCAAATGCAGAGCACTTCTATATTCCTGAAGATGAACAAGTGAGGAAAGCTTCAAACGCAGGAGGAAGGCAGGTATAGTAGGAAGCAGTAATCTAAAAGGGTGGCCTTTCTTATGCTAGATTTATTCGCTCACTCCTTTTGAGACAGGATCTCATGTATTCCAGGTTAGCCTCAAACTCTGAATTTCTGATCTACCTGCTTCTATCTCTTGAGTGCAGAGATCACAGGCACATGCCACTTACTACACCTGAACTGTGTGCTGCTGGAGATCTAACCCAGGGCTTCATGCATGTTAGGCAAGCATTCTATCAACTGAGTTGCATTCCTAGCTTCCTTGGTTGTTTTATATGCTGTTTTGTTATTGTTGTTGTTTTAAATAACAGAGTGCTAATATGAAAAAACAAAACTTTGGGATGGTAATAGAGATCAAATCCAACGACTCAGGCATGCTAATAAGTGCTCTAACATGGAGCTGTAACCCCAGCCCAGAAAACAGTTTTTTAAAATGCAGAACAGGGATTAGAGAGAATCAGCTCAGTAAGAGAATGGGCTGTTCTTCCAGGTCCTGAGTTTAATTCCCAGCACCCACATGGCAGCTCAGAACTATTTATATCTGTAGTCTCATGGAATCCGATGCCCTTGAGTAGTGTGCGGACATAAATGCAAACAAAATATACATATACATAAAATAAATAAATGAATCTTTTTTAAAGGTGCAGAATAACTCAACTCTGACCACCATTTCCATCTCCTCATGATAAGACACACTGACAGCCAGGCGGTGGTGGCGCACGCCTTTAATCCCAGCACTCGGGAGGCAGAGCCAGAGCCAGGTGGATCTTTGTGAGTTCGAGGCCAGCCTGGTCTACAGAGTAAGTTCCAGGAAAGGCACAAAGCTACACAGAGAAACCCTGTCTCGAAAAACTAAAAAAAAAAAAAAAAAAAAAAAAAAAAAAAAAAAAAAAAAAAAAAAAGAAAAAGACACACTGACAAACTAGCCAATCAAATGGTGGTCCCCAGCAGCCTGACCCCCACAATACCTAAGCTGTGGTTTCTCTGCCACATACATGAATCACCAGCTCCCAGGGACTCCATAGACACCTGGTATACAGGGGTGCCAGGCATGAGGAACTCTACCAGCTCAAGAATCAGACTAACTGACAGGGAGTAGCTTGCCTCTCCAAATCAACTTTATCAATGCTAATGCTGACTTTTCAACCTTGACCTGCTAGCATGGCACAGAATTATTCTCTTTAGTTTTCTAGTCAAGTATCTTTAAAACTTCCATTTTTAACAAACATGTCAGGAGCCATCTTCTATTTTGTTTTACTCATCATCTTATGCTCTCCAACACTGAGGTACCCCAAAAATGCTGCTGAATTAAGAATAAGTTAGACATGTAAAAGTCTGTATGCAAATTTGTATACCTCATTTAAGTTTCATAGTTAAATTCTCATTGCATTGAGGTCACAAATACACAAGGAAAATAGATTGAATTGAAGGGTAGGGTGGGTGAGGATTATGGGAAAATTTTCTTAGACCTTGCTATTGTAGAAACACCTTTTTTAAAAAAATCTTTATCCACTCTAGTTTTAAAGAAGTATGTAAAGCAAATAAGAAAAAAATGAAACTAGCGATGGGACCCATTAACAGCTTATTTTGTGTGTATTTGAGTTGCTCAAAATAAAATATCAAAATCTTTCTGCTGTGGGATGTTCTGTATGGCAAATGTGTTGCTCTGATTGGTCAATAAATAAAATACTGATTGGCCAGTGGCTAGGCAGGAAGTATAGGCGGGACAAGGAAGAGAATAAAGCTGGGAAGTGGAAGGCTGAGTCAGAGACACTGCCAGCCGCTGTGATGACAAACAGCATGTGAAGATGTCGGTAAGCCACGAGCCACGTGGCAAGGTATAGATTAATAGAAATGGATTAATTTAAGATATAAGAACAGTTAGCAAGAAGCCTGCCACGGCCATATAGTTTGTAAGCAATATAAGTCTCTGTGTTTACTTGGTCGGGTCTGAGCAGCTGTGGGACTGGCAGGTGAGAGAGATTTGTCCTGACCGTGGGCCAGACAGGAAAACTCTAGCTACATCTTTCCAATGAATATATTATAATAAAATATAATATGAATTATAAAGAATATGCATTATAATGAGAATATTTTATAATGAATTGTTTTATAATACACACTCTAAGCCCCTGGATCTGCTTCTAGGCACTGAATGAAAGTCACATAGCAACAGAACAGCATTATCTTCAACTAGGTTTGTGGTTTTAGAAATCAGTTTTACCTGAAGTAGAAAAGCAAGGGTAAAGTAAGTGGAGAGAGAGATCTTTACCTAGCCAACCATTCACCTATATTCCTTTTGGGCATCATCAGCTCAAGGTGAAAGAGGGGTGTGGAGTTTGGGCCCTACTTTTTCCCCTAACTTCACATCTGGACTTGACCTGTTCTATTGTTGCTTCTGCATCTGTTTCCATCTGTAGGAAACATAATGTTAGCTGCTGAATGGTCAGGGCCACTCCTGTACCCAAGGAGGCTAGGCCTGAGGAAAGTACTGTGTTCTCCATGCTAAACCTACCTACTATGATAGTCCAGCTTTCTTACTAAGTCAAGTAATGGACATTTTGAGAGTCACACATCCTTTCTGGATGTGTGATCTGCCCATTAGGAACAGAGTAAAATGAAAACAGTGAATTCTAGTCTTCTAAAGTCATCAAAGGCATTTTTTGAAATTACATCACTTAAAAGCTTTTAGTTTAGCCAACTGATTAAAAATCAAAACCCTCTTTTGAATAAGTAGTTCACTGTGAACTACTTATTCAAAACACAGTTCTACAGTCAAGAGACCATAGGACTTAACACCCATGAAAATATTAACAGAAACTCTGCTCCCTGATGATTACTTGGCTAGAAACAATTCTTCGTCACCACTGAGTGTTCACACGTGCACTTGTGTGTGTGTGTGTGTGTGTGTGTGTATGTGTGTGTGTACGCGTGCGCGCACCTTGAGTGAGTTTAGGTGCCTACCATCTAGTGGGCGTATGTTTTAACACTACAGAGTTAACATAAAAGACAGTCCCCTCAACAGGTGGTGGTGGCACACTCCTTTAATCCTAGCACTCGGGAGGCAGAGCCAGGTGGATCTCTGAGAGTTCAAGGCCAGCCTGGTCTACAGGAAAGGCACAAAGCTGCACAGAGAAACCCTGTCTCGAAAAACCAAAAAAAAAAAAAAAAAAAAAAAAAAAGACAGTCCCCTCAACTCATTCAGCTATACATGGGTTGCATTTTCTGTGTTTTGAGATAGAATCTTGTATGTAACCTAGGCTGGTCTTACACTCAGGGCAATCTTCCTGTCTCACCCTCTCAAGTGTTAGGTTTACAGAGGTGAGGCACCATACACTCTTTTTAGCTTTAAACGCTAATAGAGCAATCTTGATCCAAGGGTTTATATTATTTCAATTTAAGTCTGAAGCCACAAGCAGATCAAAGGAACATTAACTAGGCAACTCTCTAGTGGGCGGTCCATAAGAGGTAACAAAGGAGATTAAATATCATCTCCTGGGGCTAGTCT